TTTTTTTTGTTTTTTTTTAAATCACCCTCCTTCTTCCGCCGCGCTGTGCACCCCAAGATCCCACCCCCGACACCAGTGTGACAAAGTTCCTTCTCTATCTTGGTAGGTCCTGCGCTTATTGGCGGATTTTCTTGCCTCAGAGATTCACCATGTGGGTTGGGGAACAGCCCAGAGACCTTCCCCTCTGGGAGAACCCACAGTCCAGGTCAATTGGGAGGTTTGGGGGGAACGCGGGCCCACCCTCTACTCCGGGTTCCAGCCCAGGGCCCTGTGGACTGCAGCTGTCTATAGTGCCTCCTGTAACAGCTGCAGGACAGCTACAACTCCCTGGGCTACTTCCCCGTGGCCTCCTCCAAACACCTTCCTTATTCTCACCACAGGATCTTCCTCCTGATGTCTGATAATGCTTGTGCTCCTCAGTCCTCCAGCAGCACACCCTCACCCTCTCACTCTCAGCTCCTTGCGCCTCTTGCTCCCAGCTCCTCACACTCACACCACAAACTGAAGTGAGCTCCTTTTTAAAACCCAGGTGCCCTGATTAGTCTGCCTTAATTGATTCTAGCAGCTTCTTCTTAATTGGCTCCAGGTGTCCTAATTAGCCTGCCTGCCTTAATTGGTTCTAGCAGGTTCCTGATTACTCTAGTGCAGCCCCTGCTCTGGTCACTCAGGGAACAGAAAACTACTCATCCAGTGACCAGTATATTTGCCCTCTACCAGACTCCTGTACCCCACTGGTCTGGGTCTGTCACAATATACAACGTTTAAATGTGTCCTTTTGTTTTGATTTTCATGCTGCTGCTATTCCTACAGAACTTCAATACTGCAGGAAGACAGAATAAAGTCAGGCCTGTAGAGTGACCTTGGATTATTTCTACCCTAACATTTAAAAATTAAAATAAAGCTATTAGAGATGACAGCCACTGTCTTTTTATCAAGCAACAGGATTTGTAACATGGAGAACATATTAGTCCTGTGTCACTGTTTGGAACCATGTGATGTTAGCTTGATGCCATTTACATCAATGGTCCCTGTCCCCCTCACGTCACTCCTACCTTACCATTGACCCTGGCATAGCCATCTGACTGAAATGCAGCCTCAGCTGTGCAGAAACAGATTTTGCCATAATCTGTCAATGAGTGACCTGCTAATGCTTAGTATAAAGCAGAGTGGGCTGTCTCTCAGTCCTGCATTGACCTCTTGGTTAAGGAGAATTCAGAAGTTTAGTGAAAATCCCAAGCTCTTCTTGGTCAAAAGTACTTCCTGCCTGTCCATCTCCTTTCTACTATGGGGACAGACTAAATCACGTAAGGAAGTACCTGTGAGGATCCACAGGTCTTAAACCTGGGTCTGCAGTTCCCCAGGCAGCCTTTGCATTCTGGCTGCCACCTGGTACCCTGCTAGTAGCTAAGGGCTGAAAGACTAATGGAACCCTGGTCCCATCAGAGGTAACACCCACAGGTGTCCTGACTGGAGGGCTCATGCTCTCCGATTGGTTGAGCTGCACTATTTAAACCAGAAGGAGGCCCAGGAAGTGATCTCTGCAACAGGGTGAATTCCTGGCTGCCTGCTACATCAGACCCTGCCTTTTCACCTGACTACTAAGCCCTACTTTTCTGACTTGTCCCTGGATCCTGCTTCCTTGTCCTGTTCCTGGTTCCTGATCCCTGCCCTGGCATCTGACTCCAGCCCTGGCTCAAGACTCCTGCTCTTACCCCTGGCTTGATTTGTGACACTGACTCTGATTCCTGGTCCGACCTCTGATTCTGCCTCCAACCCCTAGCTTGACTCTTGATTCCTGCTCCAACCTCTGGTTTAATTCTGGATTACGGTTCCAGCTCTTGGCTTGATCATTCGGCTATGACCACTAGGTCTGACCACTCAAGCCTGGTTGTGATACTGGCTTTCTGTTGACTACCGTGCAGCTTCTTAGTACTGTTTGAAACATGACTACATTAAACATGCACTAGAGAACTTTTACTTCATGGCAGCAGGGTCCACATACGCCAGTTAGTTTGTGACACACTAGGGCGCACTAGAATTTACACCCCTCTAGTGTGGACTAATGCAGTGTAGATAAGCCCATAGTCATGCCTTTATGCCTGTAACACCCTGCTTCCACCAGAATCCTTCTTCTGTAGAACCCTATTGAAGCACTTGTCTCACACAGGCCAGAGTTACCGGCCCTATGTTACTCCTGGGGGAATTTTGCACCACTGCGCGTGTGCAGAATTCATGTCCCACGCAGATTTTTTTGCTTCCCCGCAGAAAAATGACTTTCTGAGAGGGAAGCAAAGGAAGCTGCAAGAGTAGTCATGCACCACTCCCGAGCAGCACAGGTACAACCTTTCAGGCACCCAGTGCAGCCGGCAGATAGGTAAATCACCATGGGGCTAGGGACACCCCAGCCAGTGGCTCCTACCCTGAGGCTGTGTCAGACCCACCCCCAGAAACCTCCCCCAGCTGCAGGAAGCTCAGCATCCTCCCCTGCTGCCTACCCCCATCACTCTTCAGCTGTGGGAGGAGTGGTCACTGTACTGGGAGCTGCTCCCCCATCCACCCTACCCCTGTGCATCCAGACCTCCCATACCCAGACACCCCTGCAAGCCCCACTAGGTACATCAGGAACCCCCCTATCCCTCCATACCTGAACCCCACCCCACTGAACCTCAACCCCTGCATCTGGAGCCATCCTGCACCCAGACCCCCCCACCTCTGGACTCCCACCCCTTCACCCAGACCGCCCCTCACTGAGCTCCCTGTACTCAAACCCCCACCCTGATGCAGCACCCCCTGCACCAGCCTGAGCTTCCGCATCCAGACTTCCACACCACTGACCACCAACTAGCTGCACCCAGACCCTACCCCACCAAGCCCACTCCCCCAGCACCCAGACCCCTGTGCTGAGCCCCAACAACAACCTTCAGCTGGAAACTCCTGCAGAGTCCCATTGCCCCTGTACCTGGAACCCTGCAACAAGCCCCTGTGCATCCAGATCCCCCCACACCTAGACCCCGCACTGAGCTGCCTGCACCCAGGTTGTCCCACACAGAATCCTCTTACCCTACACCTGAATCCCCCCACACTTGGATTCTGCCTGGTTGAGCCTGCCTGCCCACACCTGGTGTGCCTGGCGCAGAAGGGCAGGGCCCTAGGGTGTTTCTGGGACAGGCCCAGGCCTTGTGCTGTGTCAGGGTCGGGTGCAGCCTCACTGCTGAGTCCATGTCCTGGGGGGTTGCAGGGTGATCTTCCTCCTTTGTGCAGCCAGTGGCCTGTGCTCCCCACTGCCATGCTGGAGCCTCTGCATTTATTTATTGACAAATAAAACCTGCAGAATTTTAAAATATTGTGCGCAGAATTTTTAAACGTTTTGGTGCAGAATGCCCTCAGGAGTATTACTATCTGATGTGCTAGTGGCTGCTAGTAAGACGGCAAGAGTAAGGTAAATTGAATTTTGATGATTCAGCCTCTGGCTGAAACAATGTAGATTTACTATTTGATTTAATCACAAGGCATCTTGACATGTTAGTCTGGGAAGGAACCTGTCAGCCTTAACTTTAAGGCCAATTTGCTTTTGCAAGCAGCATAACAATGACATTTTCATGAGGAATACACCAGTGAATGAAAAAGTTAATCTTTTTTGTTTCAGCTTTCCTTTACAACAAACCAGAACTGGGACAAAGGTCAGAAGGATCAGGTGACTAGTTTAAATGACCCTATTGCACAGTCCTGCCTTTAGAATGGACATTTGTTTCAGAATAATTTCCTCAAAATTGCAGATTGAAAACCCCAATTTTTCCTATCTTGAATAAATTGTTTTGATTTTCTTCCATCTAGACTTGAGTTACAGTAAACCAGTAAAAGACTAGAAAAAGTTTTATGGCTCTAATTATTGACAGTAAGCTTCTTTAAACAGTTCCTACATCCTTAAAAGCATCTTGCACTAATGCTCTTCTTTCTTTTTACTAAAAAAAAGAACGAGGAGTACTTGTGGCACTTTAGAGACTAACAAATTTATTTGAGCATAAGCTTTCGTGGGCTGAAACCCACTTCATCAGATGCATGCAGTGGAAAATATAGTAGGAAGATATATATACACACAGAGGATATGAAAAATGGGTGTTGCCATACTAACTATAACGAGAGTAATCAATTAAGGTGGACTATTATCAGCAGGAGAAAAAAAACGTTTGTAGTGATAATCAGGATGGCCCATTTCCAACAGTTGACAAGAAGGTGTGAGTAACAGCAGGGGGAAAAATTAGCATGGGGAAATAGGTTTTACTTTGTGTAATGACCCATCCACTCCCAGTCTTTATTCAAGCCTAATTTAAGGGTGTCCAGTTTGAAAATTAATTCAAATTCTGCAGTTTCTCGTTGGAGTCTGTTTTTGAAGTTTTTTTGTTGGAGTATTGCGACTTTGAAGTCTGTCAGAGGACTCCTCGTTCTTTTTGTTGATCCAGACTAACACGTCTACCACTCTAAAACCTTTCTTTTTACTGTGGTTTGCTCAGGTTACTCTGCTTCCTATCTGCTCCTGGTAATGCCTTCATTATAGGAGAATCCCCAGGCCAACCTCACCTTACACTAATACAGGTTAAAAACATCGGTCTTGTGCAAAAATAGCTCTCACACTTATTCTCATTTCATTAGTCAACTTTTTGGTGGTAAAAAGTGCTGGTTTGACATCCCATATATGTACAGCATGGACATTGGCAGAACTTCCCCCAGACCCTCTCTATCTTGTTCTAGCAAGACAATGTCTAGCAGGGGAGAATAAATCTGTGTGGATGAGTTGAGCTAAGCTGCACAAAAACTGAGTCGGTTCACAAGGCCTCTGGGCAGTTGAGAGGTGGTTCCAATCTACTTCCTCCCAAAAAAGTGACCAATCTTTCTTTAGAAGCTAAACAATCTTTCTGCTTCTGTAGTTACAGGTGCCATTGCATACTTCAAAGCAGCAGAGACAGACAAGCAGAGAATTCAGCAAGCCATAGAGTTCTTACCTATGGAAATTCCATTGGTGAAAACTGAGTTTAGAGTGTGGTTTCTGACAGGACTGTGGGATTCTAGGACACTGTCATCCAGCAGGTGGCGTAGCTTCTCTGTTGGAAACGTTGCACTTTTACTTTCAACTACACTGAACTGACACATCATACTGGAAAGTTGGGAAAGAAAAAAAAATGCAAAAGCTCTTACGTAATCTGATAACATCCATTCACTCCCATTTTTTCCACTCAGACTTTGCCTCACCATACAATGATCATAAATGTCAATAAGTTCTTTAGTAGCATGCAGTTAAATGGGACTTCTCACATTTTCCTACTGCTCGTACATAAGCTGCATAAAAACCTAATCAGGCTTTGGATTTAGTAGTGTGTATGGTTAACAATTGTTGTATTTGTGCAGATGGGAATTTATTGCTTTTAATTTATTTGCTCTGACTCCTCACTGTACAGAGGCTGTGTAATCTAGTGGTGAGAAGCATAGATAGAAGACTGCATGCTCTGCAGCTAATTCATTGCTGAATGATCCTCAGATAACCTAATCAACAGACACTGTGAGACACTGGACAAGTCACATGAGCTCTCTGCCACAGTCCATCCACTTGTAAAATTGGGTAGATGTAGAAACTTTAATTGAAAAGGAGATGCTGTCACTGATCTGAGCTTTCTCAGTAAATGGTAAAGAGGGAGTCTCTCTCTAACCCATACAATTCAGCTAATACAGTGCAGAAAGGCCACAACTTTTCAGAACAGTAGTGGGTGCCAAAGAGATTGTAATGGTCCTTGGATGGATCATTGAGATGTTAAAAATCTGTTATGCACATCAGACATTCACACAAAACAAAGCGGATAGTATAAGAATGACACTGAAGTGAGTATTGCCAACTTTTCCTGGCACTAGCAGGAAGCATGGTATCAGTTAAAACAACAGAAAAGTGTTAAGACATCTTTCTGGAAAATCCTGAAGCACACAAATTAATGCCTGAATCACTCCTATAGGACTAGAAATGGGAGAGGGGCATAAGAGGAAAACTGTCTGAAATATCTAAGAACTTTCAACTGCTGGATTAATCCCTAATGATGCTTGAACTGACAGAGGCTGAGATAGTGTGGAGCACCCACTTGTTTCCCAGGCTGTGACTCTTCCTGTGTCTTGGTACAGGAGGGGTTGGGAGGCTGGCTGCCACTGAGGCATCAGGACAAGTTGGTCTCCTGCTGAACCTCACGGTTGCTGACACCTCTGATGGACCTAAAAATAGAAAAAAAAATAATGCTGAACTGATGCAAAAAACAGAAATTTCAGGGGCTGGTTTTGGTTGTTTTCTTTGTTTTTGAGAGGGCTCAGAAATCCAGCAGACTTTCAGAAATAAGGTCTCATGATTAAACAGCCACTACTTAAACTGAATTGTTACAGATCTCAAAAGGCAGCTGCATTTATGAAATAGCATCTCTTGCCTACTGGGTTACACCATCTGTTTCTATAAAGGATCCATCCAATTAAAGCAAAATGGAAATGGAAGTCATCCTCAAAACATTCCTGCACATACTTTTAATAACGGACTCCCACAAAAAGTCTTGGCCACTTACAACTGTTGGATTTGCCAACACATAACTTGCACAGCCATAAAGTCAGTTTGTGCTTCAGGGGTAAGCAGTAATGTCTAAGAAAACATATGTTCTGAATTTGGTTCAAAACCCCATCCAGCTGTAAACAGTTTGCTCATATTGACTCATAGCATGAATATCTGAGAGAAAGCGGGGACTTTTCACGTAGCTTACAGCCAGACAGATGTGTTATTTCTCAATTATCAGTGATCTTTGGGAATTTAGGAAAGTCTCACTGAAAATTATCCTCCTTCTCATTTCCTAGATTTTATCAGGGTCCATAGTCACCATGGTGACTATGCAAGGCTACTCTCATCCCTTCTCCTGAATGCTGTCGGCAAGAGGCTTGCAGCACTCTTGGCCAGGAAGCAGAGAACAACATAGTTAGCAACTTCTTATGTCTTTGGAGGTAGGTCACTGCACTTGAGGCTGTTCTTTGTTTCACAGTAAACTGCTTAGTTGTGACTTTAACACTGGTGACAGATTCCAGAGGGATGGCCTCGGAAACAGGCTGCTCAGCTTGTCCCCAGTTCAGGTACAGTTCAGGCAGCAGCAGTGCACAGTATTCCACAGAGAACACTTCTTGAGGGTTTGAGGAGAGCTTAGCATCTGTGGCCTCTCTGCTGAAATTGCTCCTAGGGGGCCAATTGTGATGGAAATTCTGTGATATGAAAAACCATGTCTAACTGACCAAACCTCCCCCTCTCCTCACCCCAAGTTTACAGCTGAGATGTCTTTTTGGTTTGGAGGAAAAACTTCTGGATGCCTGTATGTGCTGGAAATAGATAGGTGCCATCAGCACCCATAGAGAGGAGCTTTAGTTTAAAATGCTCCTAAATTGAGGCAGAAGAACATTCCACTGCATAGTGTAAGAGTTGGGTTTGGAGAAAGGCTAATATCAGGAACAGCTGGGCATCTGCCACACAGACCAAACACCATGAACAGGATAGGCATAGAATTTGTTCCACAACAGTTTCTCCTGTTTTGGCCTGAGAGCTCATGGCACAGACTGCAGTGAGTCAAAGAGCAGTTGCTTCCTCAAGAAAGAACAATGCATCCATTTCCATTAATAAGAGGGAGCTGCTAACTGGAAAAGAGTTGATATTATAAAATAGATCCAGGACTTCTTACTGTCCAGTCCAGCTGTCAGCCTGGAGTTTTACTTTTTTACTTTAGATAGACCTTGGTGAAAGATTATTTACATTGTAATTTCTCCATATTGTAGGCTCAAAGATGCCATCATGAGCTGTGCCATCAGTAGGAGCAAATTACAATGGCTACTCCATGTCAGCAATGGGTAAACTGTCTGTTCAGCTTCCCAGGAGCACTCAAGGGCACCTTTTATCTTACTTTTTAGTTGGACAAAGAAAGTGCTTAGGGACAAACCAATATTGTGGAAGGAGAGAGATGACATTGGTCCTTATAACCAAAAGAGAGGAAACAAACAAACAAACACTTTAGACGTATCATTTATTGGATCATCATTTGGTGGGTACACACAAAGAGAGAATTTATCTAATTCTGTCTTTAGCCTTTTTTCCCAATGCTCGTCTGAATGGGTTCTCTGTTGCGTTTGTCATTGCTACAATGCTGAGTTATCAAAGTTTCTATTTCACTCAACCTCTTGTAGATAACATAAGGGGTTTTAACTTTGGTCAAGGAAATCTCTCCCTCAGCATACATTCTATTACAACGTGCATATATGATAGTTCATTGCAATTCATAGTTGTTTAACACAAAGATGAATTAAACTTCCTTTTTGGAGATCTAGAAATCAAAAAATATTTTAGTTGTTGCTATAGTGTAGTTTCCAATTTAACAATGCAAGTCACATGATAAAAAATCATTTACGCATGGTTGCTATACAATAGGATCTCAAAATATAATTAAAAATCTTCTAAAACTCCACAGTTCTGAGGGTCTAAGTTCTTCGTAACTTTTCTTTTTGTTCTCATGTGAAAAGTCAGTTAGATCAAAGCAATTAAATGTCTTAAAATCTGTAGCAATCCACTGTACGAAAAAAAACCCAAACAACTTTCTCTCAGAAAATGAACAGCAAGGGAAGATTCCGTCCTGAGTTAGTCATGAATAAATCATTGTGAAGTTGATCAAAGTTGTGCACAAATATCTCAGGCAGAATGTGGCTCTAAGTATTTTAAATAACTTATATGTTCAAGTGCTATGTCTATCAAAACGAGGAGAAAGATTACGTATCACATTAAATATATTTCATTAAGGGTTTCTTCTCTATAGTCACACTCTTGGAAATAGTACCCTCTTAAGGCAGCAGAGGGTGCAATTCACAAGATTGTGAATAAACAGAAGTCCTTGAACAAAAATATTAAGATTTAAAGTTGCAATGATTATAATTAAGGCTATGATTTAGTCAGGGGTATTTATAGTATAAGTCATGGACAGGTCATGGGCGATAAACAAAAATTCACGGGCCCGTGACCTGTCCATGACTTATACTATAAATACCCCTGACTAAATCATGGGGTGGGGCTCTGCTGGGTGGGTGTGCACTGGGGGGCACGCCGGGGCCAACAGCACCAGCCGCCCAGGGTCTGCTGAGCAGCAGCTGCTCCGGCCGCCTGGGGACTGCTGCCAGGGACCGCCAGCACTGGCTGCTCCGGCCGCCTGGGGGCTGCCAGCACCAGTTGCTGCTGGGGGCCGCCAGCAGCAGCTGCTCTGGTCACCAGCAGCGGGCTGCTCTAGCTACCCTAGGGATCACCAGCAGCAGCTGCTCTGGCTGCCCCAGGGATCGCTGCTTGGCAGTCCCGGGGCCAGCTGCTTAGGGCCGCCAGAGCAGAGGCTAGGGAGGCTGGCCCCGTGGCTGCTCCAGCAGCAGCTGGTGTGGCTAGCTGCGGGGCCGCCCAAGCAGCTGGCTGCAGAGCCGCTCCAGCAGCGTCAGGTGTGGCTGTCTCTGGGGCCACCTGAGCAGCAGACCCCAGAGCCAGCTACTTGGGTGGCTCTGAGGTCAGCCACACTGGCCACTGCAGAAGTCACGGAGGTTGCGAAATGTCACGGAATTCGTGACTTCCGCAACCTCCGTGACAGACAAGGAGCCCTAATTATAATTCCTTTTAAGGAGACAAAAAGAGCTTTCAGATCAAGCAGATATGATGACACCAAAACACTAAAAACTAAACCTGGTTAAAAAAAAATGGTGAAACCCTTCTTAATGTATACAAGAGGACTGGATAACTCAGATTGGGGATAGGTTATGAAGCCTTTCACCTCTAAAGCATTTGTTCCAATCAGGCTCATGTTGAGGAATAGCTGGCTTGTGCGGGAGGGTGAAAGCAGAAGGGGGATATGGGGCCTTTCACCTTAGGGCACCAGTTCAAATCTGACCATCTGATAGTGACTGACAGTGATTACTATTTCATCTGTCTTGTGAACATAAGAATGGCCATACTGGGTCAGACCAAAGATCCATCCAGCCCAATATCCTGTCTGCCGACAGTGGCCAATGCCAGGTGCCCCAGAGGGAGTGAACCTAACAGGTAATGATCAAGTGATCTCTCTCCTGCCATCCATCTCCACCCTCTGACAAACACAGGCTAGGGACACCATTCCTTACCCCTCCTGGCTAATAGCCATTAATGGACTTAACCTCCATGACTTTATCTAGTTCTCTTTTAAACCCTGTGATAGTCCTAGTCTTCACAACCTCCTCAGGCAAGGAGTTCCACAGGTTGACTGTGCGCTGTGTGAAGAACTTCCTTTTATTTGTTTTAAACCTGCTGCTCATTAATTTCATTTGGTGGCCCCTAGTTCTTATATTATGGGAACAAGTAAATAACTTTTCCTTATTCACTTTCTCCACACCACTCATGATTTTATATACCTCTATCATATCCCCCCTTAGTCTCCTCTTGTCCAAACTGAAAAGTCCTAGCCTCTTTAATCTCTCCTCATATGGGACCCATTCCAAACCCCTAATCATTTTAGTCGCCCTTCTCTGAACCTTTTCTAATGCCAGTATAACCTTTTTGAGAGGAGGAGACCACATCTGTAAACAGTATTCAAGATGTGGGCGTACCATCGATTTATATAAGGACAATAAGATATTCTCCATCTTATTCTCTATCCCCTTTTTAATAATTCCTAACATCCTGTTTGCTTTTTTGACTGCCGCTGCACACTGAGTGGATGTTTTCAGAGAACTATCCACGATGACTCCAAGATCTCTTTCCTGATTAGTTGTAGCTTAATTAGCCCCTATCATATTGTATGTATAGTTGGGATTATTTTTTCCAATGTGCATTACTTTACATTTATCCACATTAAATTTCATTTGCCATTTTGTTGCCCAATCACTTAGTTTTGTGAGATCTTTTTGAACTTCTTCACAGTCTGCTTTGGTGTTAACTATCTTGAGCAGTTTAATATCATCTGCAAACTTTGCCACCTCGCTGTTTACCCCTTTCTCCAGATCATTTATGAATAAGTTGAATAGGATTGGTCCTAGGACTGATCCTTGGGGAACACCACTAGTTACCCCTCTCCATTCTGAAAATTTACCATTTATTCCTACCCTTTGTTCCCTGTCTTTTAACCAGTTCTCAATCCATGAAAGGATCTTCCCTCCCATCCCATGACAACTTAATTTACGTAAGAGCCTCTGGTGAGGGGACC